ATATAAAAAAAAATCACACAAAGATGCGGCTGACAGTCCCTGGGAAACAGAGGTGCTTCACAGGTAAGAGATGGTAAGAGGAAAGCAAGATGAATGTTGGGAACAAAGTCATTTTGTGTCCTGCTAAGGCAGACCTCTCTAGGCATTTTTCACAAATTTATCTTCTTTACTGTTGCATGGCCAGAGCCGTGTGGTGCAACATAATTCCAAGACATGGGGCACAGGACTTCTGTGACAGATTAAAGACATGCAAGAAGGATAAGGATTGCTGCACAGCAGAAATGTCATTATAGTTTAGTTGGAGATCTTGGTTATTTTTATTTTTTACTTTTTTTTTTGGTACCGGCGATTGAACTTGGGTCCTTCCACTTGCAAAGCAGGTGGTGGAACCACTGAGCTAAATCCCCGGCCTATTTTTTCCTTTTAAAATAACTTTTGGTATAGGAATTCCTGTATAAGCTGGGCAGACAGCGAATTGGAGGTGATTGTGTTCTAATATTATTTATGGACACTGATACTTAAATCTCATATTTTCAAATGTCATAGATAGGATTTTTTTTTTTTGTCTTTCAACTAAAAATGTAAAAACTATTCTTAGCTGGAGGCCATTCATAAGGAGGCAGAGGGTTAGGTTTGGTCCTTGGCTCTCAGTTGACCCTAAATTCTGCGTGTCTCAGTTCACTGAAAATGCCTCTTTCCTAATGTATATTATAGCATTGAGTCTAGGCTGGGAAAAAAGGAGGGAAAAGTTGAATTTTTCATGTGTAAGAATTTTTTAAACTTCATTTTTGTTTGTTGTTTGTTAGTATCAGGGATCAAACTCAGAAACTTGCCGGGCAGGCAGCAGCACGACTGAGCTAAATCCCCTGGCCCTGTTTTTTTTCTTTTTCTTTTTTCTTTTCTTTTTTTTTTTTTTTGAGACACCTCACTATGCAGGTCAGGTTGGCCTCGAATTCACTCTGTAACCAGGCTGACCTTGAAATCACGTCCATCTTCCTGCTTCAGCCTCTGGAACGCTAGGCTTAAACTTCATTTGGAAGTAATTTCAGACTTGGAAAAACTGTACAAAATTGCTTCCTTGATTACCCAAATGTTAACATTTTTCCACATTTGCTTTTCTTTCTCAGGTTCTCTTCATACTTGTAATACCAGCTCTGGATTGCCGTTTTGTCAATTCTCTCCAGTTTTTTATTTGTTTTTGGTTTTTGTTTAGTTTGTTTTTGTTTTTTGTGACAGAGTTTCAGTAAGGAGCCCAGGCTGGCCTCAAACTTACAATCCTGCCTCAGCCGTCCAGAGTGCTCGAATTATAAACACGTACCATCACATTCAGCTCTGTCGCCTCATCTTTTTTTCTGAATTGGTAGAGTCACTTGTAAAGATGATGCCCTTGTTTCCTAAAAACTTGAGAGGCAGGAGGGGTTCTGGAAGTGGATTTGCTGCCAAGGCTCTTTGTTTAGAGGGTTTTCATACAGTAAAATCACACCACAGGTTACCTTAGGCCAAACTATAATGAACCTAGAGGCTGATATGTCCAGCCACTAGCTGATTTTTGTTTATTTGTTTTTTGAGACAGGGTCTCACTATGTAGTTGAGACTAACCTGGAACTCACTATGTAGCCCAGGCTGGTCTCGAACTCACAGCGATCCTCCTGCCTCAGCTTCCCGAGTGCTGGGATTACAGGCATGTAGCTGATATTGATTTAATAGAGAAACAAAGCTTGCAGCAAGGGTACATACTCAGGAGAAGAACGAAGGCATTTCTGGAAGGGGTGGGAGTGAGGGTCGGAATGTTCTGGTCACTGTTCAGGCTTACTGGACCACAGGGTGATAGCTGCAGCAGCACAGCTCTGCACTACCTCTGGAGAGGCTCGCAGGCCTGGCCATCATGTCTCCATCTTGGGCACAAGCCTTGACCACAGGCTTGGTTGCCTCATCTCTGTCTCTTTCTACCTGCCTAGCACTCTCTGCCTAACTTAGCTATCTACAGTAACAGGAACCAACTAAAGTCTTGACGGGGAAGAATTTTTGTCAGTAATATAATTTAACCACACGTTTATCTATTTACTTTTGAGACAACGTCTTCCTGTGTAATTCAGGCTGGGCTTGAATTCACTAGGTAGCCCAGGCTGGCCTCGAACTTGCAACGATCCTCTTGCTTCAGCCTCCCAGGTGCTTGGGTTACAGTCATGTACCACCATGCCTGGCTTCATGTTTATTTTTCAAAATAAGAAATTAATAACAACCAAAAAAAGACATCTAAATAATTGAATTTAATAGCGTGTGTAAATTATAGCTCGATAAAGCTGGAACATTTTAACTTTATGTATTTAAAAGCAAGTTCCCTAAAGTTTCCTTCCTCCATTTTGATTAAAGCTGAAACCTGTGCAGTAGGAGACAGTGGGATTTTCAGAGTGCAGGGTTCCAGCCAGGGAAAAAAATGTTAACTGTAGACTAAGATCTGGTCATGCTGGAGGCCCCAGACAAGTTAACTCACGATGAGAAAAATACTAGAATTTCATGCTCCTTTGACGGCTCTGCCGGCAACACAGTTACTGAGAGGATTAAATACAGCACCGAAAGGTGGGAAGTGCTGCTGCTCTTATCCATTAAAAACTACGATTAAAGAAAAACTTCAGACGCCGGTGACCTGGGGGGCTGGTACACGGAATAATTGTGCCACAGTGAATCACATTTCCAAATTTAGTAACCTAGAGCGTGATTCTCAAACTTGAGTGTGCATCGGAAAAACTTGGAGGGCTTATACCAAGCGTAACCCATAGTTGGGCTCCATCCCTAGAATTTCTGAGTCAGGGTTTCCGGGATGAGGCTGCAAAATTTGCATTTCTAACGAGTTCTACGTCTTGTGGATTCAGCTGGGCTACAGACCACAATCGGCAAAACCCTGCTTTGGAGTTCTACGCGGTTGAGGGTCTACCCAGCGCGTCTGGGTTTAGCTGTTGTCAACTTCCCCCTGCAGTGCTCTACAGCCCGCCACGCATAAGGAGCCCCCAGTCCTTATCCAATCCCTGTGCGCATTACCAAGCAGCTGACTGCAGGGCCTCCCGGTCTCCATTCCAAAAGGTCTTCCCTCCAGCCGCCGCTGGCCGGGGCGAGATCACGTAGAAGTCACTAGGCTGAGTGTGAACTCGACTCCAGGGTCCCCAGAACTGGCGGGGCGGAGCCGCCCCAGGGGCGGGGCGGGGCGGGGCCAGGCGCAGGTCCTCAGTT